ATGTATAGCGTCTGAGAGGAGGTCAGAGGGGGCATGCGAAATATTAATCGAAGTAATTTACGGTGGGTGACTTCTAACCGATGCATAAGAGCGGAGGATAGACCGGAGGACCAAACGAGAGAGCAGTAATCAAACAAAGGAAGAACATAAGAGTGATAAATTTGTATTCGACAACCATGGTGTAGATGGGAGATGTGAGGAGAAATGCAGCCTATCGCGGAGCAAACTCGCTTTTCAATATAGGTTACGTGCGAATCCCAGGACAAGTGTTCATCAAGAAATATACCAAGGTGTTTGTGATTTTTAACAATGTTGATAGCAATGGGATCATCAGGGAAAGTAAAAAGCCGAGTCGTAAGGAGGGTGAGGTCACTGGAGGGTCGTGGGGGGATACAAAGGATTGCCGTTTTCGACACATTGGGGCGGAGTTTCCACTTCGACATCCAGCGCACAACTTGATTAATGTGATACTGTAGCGAGTCGCAGGCTTGCAATAAGCCTGGCTCGGTTATATGGAGCGCTGTATCGTCCGCGTAGAGTGAGGTATGATCCAAACCTGCCAAATCATTAACGTATACGATGAACAATAGAGGCCCCAAGATAGAGCCCTGGGGCACTCCAGAGTGGACTTTTTGAGGGGCGGACAGGGCATGTCCAATTCGGACACTCTGTCGACGTCCAGTGAGATAGCTGGTGAGCCACTGCAGACACGTCCCGGCTACACCAAACGCTGCTAACTTATGGAGGAGACCCCTTGTCCAGACAGTGTCAAATGCTTTGCTGAGGTCGAAAAAACATAGGAGGCTAAATTGCTTCTGATCCTTGCATTCATATAGCTTCTGCACAAGCCTCAGCAACTGCCAGGCGGTCGACTCGCCTCGCCGAAATCCAGACTGTGACGGGTCAAGGACCGGGTTCACATGTTGGTATAAGTGGCCAAATGCCACACGTTCACAGAGCTTTGAAATGGTGGAAAGGAGTGAAATCGGCCGGTAATTGGATGCAGACAGTTTACTGCCTTTATTCTTGTAAATAGGCACAACCACAGCTGCCTTCCAGACATCAGGGAAGATTCCGGTTGCGAAGGACTGGTTGAAAACTAGGCTGAGAGGGATAGCTATACTAGGAGACAGGGCTTTTAGCAGTTCATGGGATATGCCATCTGCACCTGCCGCCTTCTTGGGCTTTAGGCGATGGATGTGTTGGGCAATGGCGGTGGGAGTAGTGCTAAAAGAGGGTAGTGCTGGGAGCCCGTGGTGTGGAATACCAGGGAGAGACCATGCAGGATCATCCGGTGTTCCAAAGCTGATGAATTGGCGATTCAGAGCATTGGCAATCTGGGTAGGGTCGTTGTGTACTGTGTTATTTTCATGGAGTTCAGTGATGATAGGGTTTCCAACAGGGGTCGGCGAACGAAGCTGCTTAACAAACTTGAACAAACTAGGGGTGGATGCAATAATGGATGAGGGGTTAGTGCTAATGGAGGACACATACTGGCGGTGAGCCTCTCTAGATAGGATTCGTGCTCTGTTACGTTCGCACTTGTAATGCTCGTGATTGCTAGGGGTAGGATACTTGCGATACAAGCTGTACGAGTCTCGCTTCCTCTTCAGCTGAGCTTTAACAGCACGTGTCAGCCACGGGGGACTTGGTGTATGTCGTCTAGGGGCTGAAGAGCGCGACCGGGTGGGTAGGAAAGCGGAGCATAGACTATGAAGGATGTCATAAAATGCTGGAGCAGTACGGTTTGGATCTCCAAGCTTCAACTGGAGAGCAGCATGCCAGTTCAAATTAGCAATGGATTCATTTAGAGCAACTAGGTGAGTGGGAAGAATGGAGGAGATGTCAAACTGACTGAAGTCAGGTATCTGGAAGGAATGGAAGGGCAGTGTAGTGTTGGGTGCAGGTGGTGATGCGGTACATGTCGGGATGCACAAACGGCCGAGAACAATTGAGTGGTCCGACTGACCGAGAGGGGCTGAGGGGCGCGGATCGCAGATGCTGGCTGCAGTGTCAGTGATCATCAGGTCCAGAGCAGCCTCATTGCCTTTGTGGGAGCGGTGGGTCGAGAATGTGACGTGTTGCTGCAAGGCAAACATGTCAAGAAGACATGAAAGGTGGTGGCCTGCAGTGTCTGTTGTTGTTCCATACCAGGTGGAACATTTAGCATTGAAATCTCCCATGATGAGGACTGGCGAGCCAGGGGTCCGTATTTTAGTCAAGCAGCTTTGAAACGAGGCGTAAAAGTTATCTATCACCGACGGGTCGGTGGACGGTGGGCGGTAGACAGCCGCAATTTGGATGGGCTGCTGGCGCGTGGGGCAAGCAGAGGTTCCAGTGGATGGCGATATCTCTACCCAGGTAGCTTCGAATTGCGGAAGATGTAGGTCTGTACGGTGGGTAATAGGACCAAATGCACTTGATTTTACTAAGATAGCAACACCGCCATAGGCCAGGAAGTCGTTGGTGTTAATTTTATTCTCGGAGGTGGGTCGATCCCTTCGAAAACATTCATAGCCTGGGAAGGAGAGGGAAATTTGTGGACACAACCAGGTTTCAGTTATGCAAACAACAAGGGGACAGCTGGTCGTGAGAAAGTCGGATAGCTCAGCAGATTTGTTTCTAAGGGAACGTGCATTGATACAGGCTACGGGAAAGGAGGCTAGGGGCGTTGAAGGATAGAAGGGTGTTGCGTTAGGGTCAAGTTGAGGTGTTGGTTTACTCATTGTTCAGATTCAGCCTGGTCAGTGTGGAACCTCCATTTCCGGATACTAATTTTGTCAGGCCAGAAACCAGGCCCTTGGATCTTGTCTACACAGTTCTCTCCCACAACCAGGTGGGCATAAGCTGTACCAAAGTACCGTGATTCTGAGATTGAGCAGTGAAAAACTTCGACATCTTTCTTTTTACACCACAGTTCAATTGAGGCAGCATCGCATCCAAGGTCTACATTGCCAAGGTAGAAAGCCGTGCGCTTCACCCGCTCCACGCCCTGAAGGTCAGTGCGTTTGGTACGGGCTGGCTCTTTTGTGAACTGGCTTGTGATAGTGCGTTTCAGTGGACTACCGGTAGTGTTGGTGTCGGCTTGTGCAGGGCGGCGGCGGTGTGGGTTTTGCCACCCATTGTCGCTTGTGCTTGTATCTTGCGTTTGAGGTTTGGCGGGCAGGTCAGGTCTGGCCGTTGGGGTACTACTTCTTGTAGTAGTACGTGTACTACCGTCCGTGCTGGTGTGTGTGCCTGTTGGTGAGGCAGCTTTCCTTGCAGTGCTACTGTACAATTTCTCTTGGTCAGTGCAAGCTGGGGACGCTACGGGTACGGGATTTGTGGACTGCATTCTCTCTACTACTCCCTTCAGTTGAGCAACTTCTACTTGCAAGGAGACAATGGCGTCTGTCTTGCTCGTTCGAAGACATTCTATTTCTGAAGCCATACCTTTTATAGTCTCGTTAAGGAGCTGAAAAGTGGAGAGCAGGTCGCTTACCATTTGGTCCGGTGACTTCCGTATTCCTAGTCCTTCCTTGCGAAGGGCAACAACCAAGTCTTGTCGGCCCATTGTCTCCGGGTTGGTCAGTCCTGTAGCTCGGGCAACTGTGAGCAGCTCCTCGTATGTCAGCAGAGCTAAGTCCATATCTTCGTTAGTCGCCATATTATTGAGTCATACATCAACACTAGAACAAATCAGTGTAGGTGCGGTCCTGCCGAAGGCAGCTACACCGGTGAAAGCTAATGGAGCTAGTTTCAGAGGATCCTAGCTCAAGAACTCTTTTCTACTTTGCACCAAATATTTGTTTGATTTTAACAGACTTGGCTGCCTACTCTATCATCGTACATGCATTCCGGCATATTCACAGTACACTTGGCCTAGGTACTATGTGCCCATAGAATGAGACATTCAAAAAAAATGCACCCAACGATGTAGACGCCAAGCTGTTTTAGCCATCTAGCCCTCATCGGTACAGCTTGCAGCTTTTTAAAGGTACGTCGAACTACTGGCCATGGTGCAAGGTGGCACCACAAATATTTTATTTGTTGGAGCACTCTGGCACTTTAACTTTACCTATGGCACATACTTAAATCCTACACTTTTCAAATACATTCAAACTAGTGTAACTTGGTCAATTCTCAGCTGTTTGGACAGAACGAATATGTAGGAAGAAGAGAAAACTCTCAGCTGTCGTCTTGAACAATTACCTAAGCGATAGGATGAACGGTGAGTGAGTGACGACGCGCGTAACGTTCATCATGGTCAATTGGCGCTCAGGTCCGCGTTGCGTGACTGAACGGCCAGGATTTTCCCTGAACTCGCTGATGGCAAGGATGCACTCATTGAAATTCGAACAGAGGTTCCCGCGAGTGCCTACAAAACAATTCAACTTCATACGAGCAAGGAAAGTGGAATGGCGGATGGAGATAGATCTAAAGTGCGAGCCCCACGCCGAAACGCCTTCGCTGGCTTGCAGCGCTGGTCAAGTGCATCTCGTGGACTCGAGTTTAGGCTCATCGTGTTCCTCTCGTCAGGGGCTTTCCAGGGTGCCCAAGATGATGACAATTGTCCCACGGAAACTAAAGTTACGTCCAGTTCAATTTTAAAGAATTTGAGGGCACAATTCTCCACATACACTGCGTGCAGTTGATAAAGGAACGAGTTATGTTTAAATGATAGCTTGTTGTTTTAGTGCCAGTGTGCTCCAAACTACGGAAAGTAGCGAGCAATGCGCAATGCAGCAGTACGAAATCAGCCTACTGAGAGTGCTCAACAAGGCGAATGCTGAGGAGCGTACTATGTCAACTACTCACCGAGGTTGCGGGTGTGGAAGATTGCGCCGTGGACAGGGAGTTTGTTGGAAGCACAGCAGATGTTGTTGGTGGTTGGGTTGTGAATAGGAGATGGATTTCTCCAGATTGGTTTGTTCCAGTTGCCATCACAGCTGGGGTTGCCACTGGTCTTGCTGGTATTACCTGGGTTTTTGTTTGAAGGCTTAGAGTCTGGGCTGTGGAATTGTCCTGGTCATTATGTGATCCCTGGGCTGTTGACAATGCCTTGGTGGTTGGTGAAGCGTGATGTGTTTGCGAAGCAGGGGTTGTTCGCGAAGCCTGGGTGGTTTGCAAGGCCTGGATTGTTTGCAAAGCTTCGCTTGTTTCCAAAGTTTGGGTTATTGGTGAAGCTTGGGTAGTTTGCGAGGTTTGGTTTGTTTGCGAAGGATGGATGGCTTGCAAAGCATGAGTTGTTTGAGAGGCCTGGGCTGCTTGCGAAGCGGGGGTTGTTTGCGAAGCCTGGGTTGTTGATGAAGAGTGGGTAGTTTGGGAAGCCTTTGTTGTTTGCAAATCATGATTTTTTGGCGAATCCAGGGTTGTTTGCAAAGCCTGGGTTGTTGATGAAGCTGGGGTTGTTTGCCAAGCTTGGGTTATTTGCGAAGCTTCGGTTGCTTGTGAAGCAAGGGTTGTTTGCGAAGAGTTGTTTTCTTGTGAAACTTGTGTTGTTACAGAAGCTATGGTTGTTTGCCAAGCTTGGGATGTTTGAGGAGCTTGGGTTATTTGCCCAGCTTGGGTTGTTTGCGAAGAGTTGTTTTCTTGTGAAACTTGGGATGTTTCAGAAGCCATGGTTGTTTGCCAAGCTTGGGTTGTTTGAGGAGCTTGGGTTGCTTGTGAAGCAAGGGTTGTTTCCGAAGAGTTGTTTTCTTGTGAAACTTGGGTTGTTTCAGAAGCCATAGTTGTGTGCCAAGCTTGGGTTGTTTGCAAAGAGTTGTTTTCTTGTGAAGTTTGGGTTGTTTCAGAAGCCATGGTTGTTTGCCAAGCTTGGGTTGTTTGCGAAGAGTTGTTTTCTTGTGAAACTTGGGTTGTTTCAGAAGCCATGGTTGTTTGCCAAGCTTGGGTTGTTTCCGAAGAGTTGTTTTCTTGTGAAGTTTGGGTTGTTTCAGAAGCTTGGGTTGCTGGAGGAGCCTGGTTTGTTTGGGAAGCCAGAGTTGTTTGCAAAGCCTGGGCACTTGTTGATCTCTGCATTTCAGACTGCCCATCGTTTGCTTGCGGTTCTTGTGTTGTTCGTGGTTCCGGGAGTACTGATGACTGCTTGAGCGTTGCAGATGTAGTATTGTATGCTGTAGGTAGCCAGGTCATGCATGACGCACGTTTTGTTGATGCTGCAGACGTCAAGTTCCGCCAATAGCAACGGAATGTCTCCGCACGGACTTTGAATTTGCATCTTGGGTAGATGCCGCTGTCTCCGCCGCATGCTATTATAGACTGGCTTTGGCCTTCCTGACGCCTGACTAGGCAGACCTGTTTGCCCTGGGAATTGCACGACAATATCGGACGGACGCCATTGTGTGTTTGCCCGCAAGGATAGTCTGGAACAAAAAAAAAAGAACAAATCAATTGTCACGTGAGCAAGTCAGCAAGTGAGAGCAGAAGTAGGCAGAAATTGTCTGCACAATACCACCACCACCTTGCCCGTGGTGAGCTCAGTGTGCAATCAGCAATTCAAAAGGGTTTGCAGAGCGAGGCAGCATTATTCAAATGCATATAATATATCGCTATGCAGGGCCATTACCAGCAAATTAGAACAGGTCGGGTTGGACACTTCACATTGACAACATCTCCCTGCCGCTTGCAGACAAAGTATCAGGCCTGCTGTGTGTGACAACACTGTACTGCACCCTACATCAAGAGTAAACTTATTGTGCTCTTGTCTACACGTACACTTTGACAGGGCCATAGCCAGGATGAATCAGGCATGCCGATTCTTGTGCACACGATTATAATTTTCACGAGAGCAAAAGCGCCGGTTGTTGAAAGCCCGCTACAAGTGCAGTGTGTGAGCTATTTCCAAAAGGGAAATTTCAACAACTCAAACTTCCCCGCAATATCAGGAGATCGCTATGGATACATAGACGCCTGCAAAGTTTGCCCAGCACCTCTCGAACTGGATCACGGTCTGCAAGTGATATCTTGGCCACACGCGTGCATGTATATTTGCACATCGCATGATTGGCCTATTGATTGGTTTTGCATCTCAGCTCTTCTCAGGCAGGACCGGAGGACGCAGTTTTGGATTGGTCTGGCCATACCCTAGCCTTTCATACTTTCTGTAGTGTTAGGTGCCTCCTCACAGTAGGATAAGAGGGTGGGCATGACCACCACAGCAGGAAACCTATGGTGGTGGGTAAAGAGTTGGTCCGGCCGTGGCCTGACCAATCGGACCGGTTCCACCGGGCCTACCTTCAGAAGAATGGTTTTCTCGCCAATTTCGAAAGGGAAATACTTCCGAGACCATCGATCAATGGTTCTCTTCCTTACCAAATAGCATTCTTGTGAGCTCATCTTTTACGGCGTGCTGCTTATCGTCGAAGTGGCGTAGGAACGTGTTCTTGGTGTAGTTCGTTCGGATCGCGAAACGCCGCTCAACAATCTCCACCAGCACTGCCAGAGGACACGTGGATGAGCTTGCGTTGAGCGGGTTATCCGAGAAGTCCACACGTTCCAAGTAGGGACGATACCTCTTGAACAGCCCCGTCTGGAGCATACCAGGGTCTGTTTCACTGCAGAGTAAGACAAAAGTCAAATATACACCCAATTTTCCAGGTCGTTTTTTAGCCTCACTTTAAACGTTTCTAATTGTCCGCAAACTACCACACTTACCCATTTAGAAAACTTCACTTCTCAACTCCGAAAACGGTCTCTGCACTGTGGTTCAAAATAAAATTACGATTCACATTACAAGTGTAGTGTGTGAAATGTAAATCTTATTTGTATTTTGAATCGCAGTGAAGAGACCGTTTTTGGAGTTGATAAGTGAAGTTTCCTAAATCACTTTTAAAACGCATAAAAATACTCAAATTTCGCCCATTTGGTTACGAATCTGGATACGAATGGACCGGCACTACGGGACTCCATGATTATAATGAATGCATGTGTGTGTATGGCCGATTGGTTTGCAGGCCTGCCTGCGAATCATGAGGTCCCGAGTTCAAGACCCGCGCTGGTAGCAGGGAGCGTGTAAAAAGACTTTTTACGCGTGTTGAACTGCGCCGACACCCACGGTCAACTGGGTGCTCACAGCTTGGAGTGAGAATAACAAGGATGCAGTTTACAGGGTTATGGGCCGTTACACGCCCGACTGGTTGAGAGACTAACCTCCTCTCCCCTGACTCACTTGTGAGGTCTGCATTCGCCACTAAGGATAACAGGCATAGTGGTGGCCTGCGAATGCGAAGGCTAGTTTGTGTGTTTCTGAACATTCAAGCGATGCCGACGCGAATCCCGCGAATATTATTATTCATGTGTTGTTCAGCTACCTTTCATACAGCGCAAACGATCACTGTACTAGTACGAAGCTTCAAGGTGTTGTCAGCTCTGAATGGAGGACAAACTAGATGTAGGCAGCTTTTGTAGAACTTCAGCCGTGTTTCTCAACTTTTTAACTTGCGGTTTATTCCCGTAGCTATGCAAAAGACGTAACCATTGAGTAACGTCTGGCGCTAGCTAGGGTCCACACCGATTTAATTCGGTAAGTGTGTGGTGTGCCGTCGGGCGTGCCTGGCGGTATCCCGTACATGTCCCGTACCTGACCGTTAAGACAGCTGGCCACCTTATTCAAATACGGCTTTCTACTGCAAGATCTACTGCAAGATCATATAAGCCAGAGCGCGCTAAAACATGACCACAGCTTTTTTTGAAAAAGTCGAGGTAATCGCCATTTGAATTCAACGGCAAAAAATATGAAGTGCAGTGCAACGCGAGTCGCTGTTGTTGTTCTCCTCGGTCGACTGGACTGTTCCGGATGCATTTCTTTGTTGCAAATAAGTTTATTTGTTTGAGTTTGTATTCCATGTTGCGCTGAGTCGCCTAACACTGATCGTCATCGATGTATCCACGGAAGAGCCTAGTAGTATTGTACTGCGGAGCGGAAGAAGACGACATCCTCGCACTCCATGCGCAGGATGCAATATTTTGAGGATTCGGGTCGGAAACAGAAGGAAGACGATGATGGCTACAGTGACGAGTCATTTGACGGCAACACTTTCATTGAGCGTAAAAGAATTGATGCTGGTAGTCCCACGATCTGCAGTGATGAGGAATTCTACTCTGATGACAACCTGGCAAGCGATTGGGTATCGACACTGATTTGGGAGGTGAGTCGGCCAATGATTTAGCCAGACTGAACGTCGCTGCATATATCCGGGACAATGCCAGTATGGGTTGCAAGTGCAAAAACAATCAATGGACTCAGCTGCTCCCTCCACTTGCTCAAGTCGATAATTTGAGTACCCTTATGCGGAACATCGCTAGCACGAGCAGTAGGCAGCGAAAACAGTACTCTCTGGCGAGCGGTAGGCCCAGACAGATTCTGCTCCGCTCGCCTCGATATTTTGCCGCAAAATGTTGCTGCGAAATCTTCGATATTTTGCCGAGCCATGCACAAGAATTTCGATATTTTGCTCCATTTTGCTCCGGAAAAACATGTATTTTATCTAAATCCCGTACAATCCCGTACAACGTTTTATAAAATCGCAGGGTCAGTTTCTCAACACGGATTTCCACGCACGTGTCCCTGAGTTCTTCCAAAATTATGTTGATCCACAGTGAATCCCAGTGATATTTCGGTGACATGATCTCGTCCTGGGCTGTGTATCCTGCTGAACCAAGGAAATCCAAGTATCAGGCATCGATTTTACCCCACATCCCGATATTTTTCTCCGATTTTGCCAGCAATTTCCGCTCTTTCAATTCTTTGATATTTTGCCGAAAGAATTGCCGGCAGGATCTGTCTGGGCCTAGCGAGCGGAGAAAACCGTGTGCAGATGGGCTTTGGTGTGCGGAATATGAGTGCGACGTCGAGTATGTTGAGTAAGACTGTGTGCAGCAGTGTATACTGTATATCTGAAAGTATAGGTGGAGTGTGATGGAGAGAACGTGGAGTGCCAACTTCTTCGGCCATCTACAGATGTTGACCGTGTTTTCGCTGGCGGTTTTCCAGGGGCGCTCCAAACAGGAGGTATTTCGGACACCCAGCTCAGCTGCCTATAGGGATTTTGGATGTAGCTGAGTACCTGTCAGCTCATGCTATAAGACCCTGGACAGAGGAACTGACCCGAAAGGATGAACCAAAGGACATATCGACTGTGTGCAAAAACGACAATCCCATTGCTGTACATAGAATTTCACCCTTCCAACAGTGCTGCATATAATACCATTGTAGCAACACTTAGACATGTCCGATCAATCCAAAACTTTCAGACAGTGAACATTAGGTGTGTTTGGTCATTTTTGAACAAAAACTGAAAATCCAATTTTTGTTCTTTGGTCATATTTTAGCGTGCTCTGGCTCATAACGTGAAGCAACTTGGAAGAATGTGTATGTATGCAAAGAGTATCGAGAGAATGCATGCAGGGCGATAGTGTGGATTCGAATCCCAAGTTATGTCTTTTTATAAAATGGGGAAATGAAAATATATAACATCGCTATTTTTCGGCTAGGTTATCAACGGTCCATGTATCATTATTACAGTACAATACTCAGCAGTTTTTCGAGTTTCATTTGTTGAAGTAAATTGTTGACCGTTCTTTTATTTTAAGGACTGTTTTGATATTTTCTGTTTCGCCTATTCTACAGTTGCATGCGTATAAGCACCTCATTCCCGCTCGCTCCTCATTCTTCCTTCCATGTGGCAAATGCTGGTTTTATACATTGTGTAATTACTCAGCGTTATTTGCAAAAATAATAATAAATCAAAGGATCATTGGGGAAGTGAACTGCCTGAAAAGAGAAAAAATCGCCAGACCCACCAGGACTCGAACCTGGGACCTTGCTTGTCATGAGCAACGCTCTAACCACTGAGCTATGGGACCGGGCTGAACCTAGAAGGCGCTGACAAGTTTTTCGCTCCAAAGGCAGCTCACAACACGTGCCACACATACTGATGGCACTTGGGTCTTTCTCCCTCCCCCAGGGGACCAACCACGGTCAGTTCCTGGACCCCACCAGAAGTGAAAGAGAGTGATAAATTTTGAAGGGATTGGGAGAACTTCAAATTCAAAGGATCATTTGGGGAAAAACTTGTCAGAGAAATTTGAAGTTCTCCCAATCCTTTCAAAATAATAATAATAATTAGGGCTGAAACAAGTATACCGATAAATCGCATATCGATCGTTAAAAGAGTGGAATCGATAATCGTTAGTGTTCAAAACGAATACTAACGATTGTTTATGCATGTATATGAGTGACAGTATTCCAGCCCTTGCACTCAATCCGATAGTGAATACGAGTACAATCATGTACTTTCAAGCGCAGTAAAATTGACTTGTGGCTTTGAAAGGGATCGGGAGAGAAGACTTTGTCTTTTGGTTGGTTGGATTTATTTAAAGTCGTACAACAAACAGGCATGTCTGCCTCCTTATATGAAGACGACTTCTGGCAGTAAAACATTTTAAAGAAAAGAGAAAGAAAAAAAAAGAAAAAAAAGAAGATAAGATCAAGAATGTATAGACTGATCATACAGCTAGCCTCGGCATGTATCAGAGCATCAGGATTACTACATACTAGTACTCAAGACAGGGGAGGGGGGGGGGGGGGTTGCTGTCATGCTACAGTAGTAAGGTTTAGTTCCCACGTAACGGAAATGCGTACGTGGGTGATCCACGTAATGTGGATGAAGGGCACCCACGTTGCAATGTTGTGTTTAGTCACACGGAACAAACAAAAGCATGAACCGAAAGGCCCAAACCTGGTCAAAGACGAAGCTACCCGGGCCTAAGAAGCTCCTCCAATATTTTGATTTCGTGCTTCAGAAACTTCTTCAGCTGAGCACCCTCACAGCTCGCACAATTCGCTCCATTTTTTTTACCCACGTTCTGGCGGAACGTGGGTGAGCCTCCACACACGGGATGTCGTGAACCAGAAAGCGTCTGTACGTGGGTCACTGAGTATCACGTGGTACACACACGTAAAGTACCCACGAATTACGTGGGACTAAACCTCCCTAGTAAGACAATATGCGTGCAACACACCCTTGAACTGGAGGGGGGACGTGATGTTTCTCGCATCAGGTGGAAGACTGTTCCCAACGCGTGCAGCAGAAAGAGACACGGGATGAGTTCTGGATGGAAGCTGCAGCAGATGTTGTTGGGAGCTGCGCATTTGGCCAGCCCTAGTCGGAGTGACGAGATCTCCAAATAATGCGCTGATCAGCGGCTGCTCCATGGTGGAATGTAGGCACCGGTAGACCAGTGAGCACACTGTCCCACGCAAGAGCTGGTGTACACGGAGCAGGTTGTGTTCCGCATCCACGGGAGTCATACGGGTACGGGAGGTCAGGTTGTACACGGCTCGCAGGGCTAGGTTGCATAGGCGTTGAAGTCTCTCCTCGTTAGCCTTGGAGAGAGAGCTAAAGAAAGCTGAGCATCCATAGCGGATCCTGGACTCTACCATGGACGTGTAGGCCAGTCACTTCGACTGCAGAGAGACACTTCCGATTTCTCCACAGCGCTCCTATAACCTGTCGAGACGTTTTGCAAATATGCGTAACGTGGCTATTCCAAGTCAGGCGATCATCTACAATCAAGCCTAGGTACTTGGTCTGCGACACAACAGGGAGCACAGCGCCATCGCATATCACAGGCGGCAAGGGATCAAGGGTGCTCCGAGGAGCAATGTGCAGCACACAGGTCTTGATGGCGTTGAGGCTCAAACCTTGTCCATTGAGCCAGACGACGAGATGCGTACATGCGACACTAAGCTTAGAGCTGATGTCTGCACGGCTGGATGATGATGTATCTAAGGTGATATCATCGGCGAATTCTTGGTGAAAAATACCAGGCGGTAGATGAGAGTCGATGGAACTGATGTAAACAGAAAAAAGGAACGGTCCGAGAACGCTACCTTGCGGTACACCACTTGAACACTCCGAGTAGCATGACGATGAAGAACCAACTTTAACGCGTTGTTTCCGACCCGACAAATAGCTGGCAAACCAGGCCAAAGCAGTGCCACGTACACCCTTTCCGTGAAGATCATCTAACAGCATTTGGTGACGAACCTTATCAAACGCTTTTGACATATCAACAAACACAATACCAGTGGACTGTTTCCGGACCCTAGCTGTGCTCCATCGATGTACGGCCAGTGTCAGCGCGCCCTCCGTGGAATGATGGCGACGGTATGCAAACTGAGTTTCCGGAAGAAGATTCTCGGACTCGAAGTATCGAACAACTTCACGTGGATTGCACGTTCTAGGAGGCGTGATACAGTAGGAAGGAGACTTATTGGTCGATAGTTGGTCGGTAGTTCAGGATCACCGCCTTTGAAAAGTGGCGTGACATTGGCCTGCTTAAACATTGCTGGGACTTTAGCAGTCTGAAGGGAAACATTAAAGATGCGGGTCAATGACGGTGCAAGCATGGAAGAGCACTTCTTCAGGACCAGGTTTGGTATGTCGTCATGTCCAGTTGCCTTGCGCTGGTCGACCCGAGAAAGCATCCGCTTAACAGAGTGGACGGTTAGGGGCGTGAGGCGTGCAAAGTGGGATTCCTGTACCGGTGTGGTGGCATGTGAATTCGAGTTTGAAGGTCGCTGGGGATCGTAGAGAATGCTCAGATCCTGAACAGGGATGACGGGAGCATGATGAATAACACGGCGACCGGTTACCGTATTCAGTGTGCTCGACAAGCCTCGGGTATCAGCCGCGTGTAATCCACATTGATCGCGAAAGTGCTGGTTTCTTAGTTTTCTTTTCAGTTCATTTGTGGGAAAGGTCAGACCAGTTGCCGGAGGGTGATGACGAGATTCTTCGCTCTAGAAACAACGTGAAATCCTCTAGTTCATGCTGATAAACCAGCCAGATGTCTACAGATGTCAACAGTGCGGTGCCACAAATTTCTAAAGTAGCAGAGGTATCATGGAATTTCTTCATAAACTGGTGTTCAAGGTACACAGGTAGAGCCGACAAGATTCGATAAAACCAATATATCGATCGTTAACCCATTGAACGCTGATGACGTCTAAAGATGTCATTGAAAACGTCACGAACACTACGGCAAAACGTACGTCGTGTGAAACAACTTGTTTTGTAGTCAACTAGTCCATCACAATGTCATGCATGAGGAGTACTGTAGGAGTTTGGCTTTCGGCGTGTACAATTCGTTTTCGCAAGGCTTCCCATTTCTTTACTTATCTTTGATATTTATCACCCACCCAAGTTGGGTGGTGTGCTGCTTTGCTGCTTCGAATTGTAGTTAGACCGCTTTGTCAAATATCGTACTGGTCTCGTCATCGTCCAGTAACAATCGACATTCATTGTTCCGTTGGGACTGTAGCCTTTGCTCATTTTCGTTGCGCTTGCCTTCCCCTCTTTGGTCTTTCCACAACCTTGAACCTATAAAGTTGGAAGGCTGTCGGTTAGCGCTACAGAGATGTGTTGAAGCTAGGTGTCAGGACGTTGAATGTCTCAGTACTCTGTCAGTCTTGTGCCTAGTTATTGCACTTTCTGACTGTATAAAGTATCATGTTACAGTGATGGAGAGTTAATGTCTTTTTCCTTTCTACATTTATTTATGGCTCAATAGAGAGGTTCCGGGGTACGATTTTCCGTGCCAAAATCCGTGTGGGCGCTACGGATTTTTTCCAGGAGTGCTCCATACGATTATTCGGCACGGAGAATCCGTGTGGACTGGCTTTCACACGAACCATGTTTCGTATGGAGATTTTGCGTCATCGGGTGCAGTAAGATTTCGCGTACAAATTTGGTACGAGAAACATGGATTTTCCGCGGGAAGTTTTGATTTCGGTACAAATTTTCAAAATATAAAGGCATAGCGCGGGAATGTGACGTGTTTGCGATCGTAACCTAGGCAATGACGGCAAACACATAAGTTCCGTACTCCGGAACATTTCACTGCTCGAAAACGACGTATAAAAAATCCGTAGCGCCTCTACGGATTTTGGCACGAAAAATCGTACTCCGGAACCTCCCTATTATCCGAGTTTCAAATAACAATAATAATAATATTTATACTTGGTCCGCGTCAGCGATATTGTCGCTTATCTTTGAGCTTTGTTTATATGTCGCCAATGCTTACTTGGCAGCCCATTTCATCGCAATTTTGGTTAGCAAGTTAGGTTACTAGTACTTGAAAGGTCTAGCTAGAGTTCGAGTGGATTTCGAGAGCGACGGTTGGGTGATTCTGATTGATACAGTGCCGCATCAAAATAGATTATCTTGTTACGCTCTGCAGGCAAGAGCAGCGCAAGCCACATGAAAGTAATCCGTTCCTCGGGATCAGCTCCATTTTTGCTGAACGGCCGAGATCGCTCACCTCAGGGATCGCTCGTCAAGCTGAGATCGAAGCTCCCTTACCTCCAGCTCAACGCTCGGAGTATCCAGAGCGTCGTGGAGATTTGCAAGTACTGTACGCGTCGTCGTTCAAAATAAACTCTTGCAAAGAACGGCGTCTGATTCGAACTACACAGGCTGTCGTGCCGTGCCGCCCACGTGAAGTCATATAGAGAAGGCGACCGTCACGATCGACTTCTCTTTAGAAAATAGCCAGGCAGCGGAGAGGAAGAGAGATGAGCTTGCAAAAGAACGAGAGTCGATCCCGAACAAAAATATTTGTCATCAGCGCCGATAGCAGCGACGAGGAGGAACGAAAAAAGTAGGAGCCCTTCCTTGGACAACAAATTCCTCACAGCTAGTTGTCACTCTATACCTTACCGTCCATCGTACCAAGTCTTATCACTTCAAGTGCACGCATTCATGTCCAAAGGCTAAGTTCAAATTGTTGAAAGATGAGCGACAATATTGCTGACGCGGACCAAGTATGTAGAAAGGAAAAGGACATAAGGTTACGAGTTAAGAGTAACTCTCCATTACTGTAACTGGATACTATATACAGTCACAAAGTGCAATAACTAGGCAGAAAGCTGATAAGAGTACCGAGACATTCGACGTCCTGACACCTAGCTTCATTACATCTCCGTAGCGCTAAACCGACAGCCTTCCAACTTGGAAGGTTCAAGGTTATGGAAAGGCAGTTCGCTTCCCCAACTGATCCTTTGTATTCGAAGTTCTCCCAATCCGTTCAAAAATTAATCACTTTTCTTTCACTTCTGGTTGGTCCCCTGGGGGAGGGAGAAAGACCAAAGTGCCATCAATAATAATAATAATAATACAGTAAAACCTGTAACTAACGACCACCGTGACTAGCGACCGGCCTGGTACTACCGACCACTTCGCCAGGCACGGACGGTCTCACATTCAAAATGCACTGTGACTAGCGACTACCTGCTGAACGCGACCAGCGACCGCCTTTTCTTGTCCCAATGTCGAATTTTGACCCGTAACTAGCGACCGCGATGTAGCAAAGCAAACATTGCTTGAAGCTCCTTCTCGAAATTTTGATGATTTTCCATGGTCGTTTCGATACTACAGCTGGACAAATGAGCGCAGTCTCATTTTTACTGTGGAATCAGTGTGGACTGCACTACACCTGTCATAATTTCAAGTGCTGTCAAGAACAAACATGATAGGAAACGTCTTGGAGAGCGCATCCAAAGCGCTCTTTGATCGATGTAATTGTTACTACTCGAAGGAGAAACTAAGACTGAGCGGTTCTCTGTCGAAGTGCAATCACACAGCTCAGTCACCAGGTCACACTGACAGTCTGTGCTGGCTAGCTCGCATGCTACGGCACTCACCTGTACGGAACACAGGCCAGGATACGATGGCGGATAATAAATAATAGTCTACAGTGAAGGTGCGAAAACTCGCAACATCGCCGCATCACGTACTGGTACACACCAGTACAGTTTTCGCTACATCCAAGTCGCGGAGCGACCGAGTTTCCACTGTAGATCTACACACTGATACCAGTTGCCAGTGTAGTCGCACACAGTACAGATGAGGATGGAGTCGATAGTGACTAGTCCACTGCCTGGCCAGGCCAGCGCTTCTCTGGAAACCCAGTGAGTCGACATACGTGTCAAAAGGTCGTCTCGCTTCCGGTGTATAAAAAACTTGATTTTCTCTCTCTCCAAGTGTTGTATGATCTGAAAGAAGAATGTCAGTGCGCAAGTGGTGGGGGATTGTATTATCTGCATTTTGACATACATATCATATAATGGGATCCATATATGGTCGCGCGGTGCAAACCTCTAACTAAAGACCACCTGCCACTAACGACCACTTTTCCAGGCACCAAGGGGTGGTCGTTAGTTACAGGTTTTACTGTAATAATAATAATAATAATAATATCAACGGTCCGGTGTTGCATTATCGCAGCAGTGACAGAGGACTGTGAGGAAGAGAAAAATGAGAGGGAAAATGAGAGGGGTGACAGTTTTGAAGCTCTGAGCAGATTGCGTTGGCAGGAGTGCCTACAGAGAGTAGAATATGGGAGAAGAAAGGCCCAGGCGCCTCAAGAGTCGCCATACTTGCCAAATGCTACACCGACCACAAGAAAAGACTTACTTAGTGCCCATCCAGAAAGCATTGAAAAGATCTGCTGGAAGGTTCTGCAGTAAGTTGTCCTTCAGCGACCTTTCGGACATCAGTAGTGGACAAAACAGGAGAGGAATGAGGACTGAGTACAATGTCCCAGGCTAGTAACACACACACACACACACACACACACACACGCACACGCACATGCACACGCACACACACACACGAACACACACACACGAACACACACATACACACACATGCACACACACGCACACACACACACACACACACACACACGCACACACACGGACACACGCGCACACACACACATACGTACACCCACATACGTACACACACACACACACACACATGCACATACACACACCTTGGGTCCCTTCACTTCTCTCTCCCTCTCTCTCTCTCTCACACACACACACACGCGCGTTGCTGTTACTTTCTGTGTGTCTCGCACACAAGTCTGATGGCTCATGATTCTTTTCATCATGATTTAACCCTTTAAGAGCCACAGGAAAATTTCAAAACTCTGCATTTTTTCGTGTTCCTTGGATCATAGCTTCAGTTCTACTCGCTCAATCCTCACAAACTAGGGCTTCCTGGAAAGGTCTCCGCGAGACGAAGAGAATGAGGTCGATCATGATCGCCGGCACACCGTCTATCCAGCGCTAGATCGCAGCGACAGTACGAAAAATGCCCCAAATGCGTCCAATTGCGTCCCGCTCCAGATATTTCATTTTGCTCCATCGTGGAGTTCCAATTTTTTCGCTGTGTACTCTTGACAATATCAACAGTGAGACCCGTGCAAATTCGAGTAAACCAGCGTGATGAAAAGTCTCAAAATTCTCAATACCAAAGTCGCACTGCGCGCTTTTGAAATTGCCGCGATCGCGGCTCAACTTACGAGTGATTTATCTCAGGAACCGTAGCTCGCAGCGCTTCGCGGATTGTTTCTCCCGACAGGTGAGAGTTTTCTCTTCGCCCTAGATATTTTGATCACTGGATTTGAGCGAGATTGGACTGAGTTACGATCTTTTGAAGTTTTGCATTTGAATGCGTCGTTTACGACGCATTCAAGTATGGGGCGGCTCTTAAAGGGTTAAATGATCTTGACTGGGTTAGACTGAGTTTTCCCCACCCATAGGAATCCCACTATCCATGAGGATCAAGGTACAGGTGAATATCCTATATCTGCACATGCTTAGAACATGCACAAAATGAGGGAAATAGCATGATTAACATACAGAAATGTACAGGGAAAGTCCCCTGAATAGCTAGGGTGATTAACATACAGAATGTAGAGGGAAAGTCCCCTGAACAGGTCTGCTCCAAGAGTTGTGATCTGGTTATGGTCAGCATAGCTGTAGTGGAAAACAACACAGAGCAGCACAGTAATTACACACATGTTGTGTACCTACCCCCGTACGTTCTGCAACCTTTTCCAAGCTGGCCTGCATGCACCCTCGTACTCACCTTTTGTCTCCTTTTTTCACCTTTCGCTTTGTTGGCCTGGGTAGCTACTTGCACGCCCATATTTGCCATAGCTACCCAGGCCCTTTATCTTGCAATCGCCCTGATTCAATCTCTCACTCTCTCTCTCTCTCTCTTCCACTATGTAGGCCTTCTGTTCATCTTTGTCTCGGCCTCTTTGCCTCCCGTAATAAATGTCGTTACATCAACCCGTTCCCGTTGTCCGTTGTGTCTGGGGAGTATGACTGCTCTTTGTACCCAACACACATAGCACAAGGAACAGACACAAACACAGGAAAGTACCCAGTGCATTGGACACAACATAAATCACTCCCCCCCCCCCTTTCTCTCCCTCCCAGTCTACCACCCTGAACGACAAAACGCAACACATGTCCACAGCATGACACAAACACAGGAAAGCACCCAGTGCCTTGGACACAACATAAATCACTCCCCACTCCCCCTCTCTCCCTCCCTGTCTACCACCCTAACCGACAAGACACAACACATGTCCACAGCATGACATGTCAGGCGAAATAGCACGTCATAGTACATTTTGAGATCAGCGGGAAGAAGATGACGACGTCCACTAATTTAGTATCTGTGCACACGAATCTGCTGTGTGTGTGACTCTGTGTGTCAGCTATGGCATCATCTCCTGTGGTTCCGCATGCCTAGCATGTACGTCTGAACCATCCTGCAAAGTTTGAATGACGTAGGTTGAGCGATCGCTCCGCGAAACATACTTTTTGAAATTCTCTTCATAGTATATCTTCCACCATTGAAATTTCTAATTTCTTGCTGAGAGGGGTGGCTTCCAACCTCCATATGGCTTGTTCCTGGCATGCTTTGGAGCATCTTCTGTTGAAGTAGCGGCAGGGATCTGCCCTGCAACTGCTACAACAAAAAAATGATTCGATCTGAGAGAGGGTGACTGAGACCGCAAATCTCGGTTGAATATTGAGTATTTCAAGCCTTTTCACGACGAAGATGGAGTTCTTTTAAGAGATGGGCGTCGCGGCAAAAGACATGGTGTCCGACTTCTGGCGTCTGGTGAAGCCAGGGATCATTTGTCCTGCCAGGTCGGCAGCCTAACCGTAAGTAAGCTTGTGTTTGGATCCCGTTCTGCTCAATGTGGTAGATCACAAACAATTTGATATCGCACAAATTGATCTCAGCATCGTGCGTACCGTATTTTATATTCAGAAAATCCCGAAGTGTCTCTGTGTGGCCGTCCTATGCCACGAGAAACTCCAATCAGGCTCCTATGTCCTCTGCCTTCATGATTGAATGTCCACTTCGTTTGAACAACGAACACAACAATCGAGGACGGCTTTGCAATGAAAATACAGCTATACTGGAGCTGAAAAAAAGAAGAAAAAACGTGCTCAGGATGAGACTCGAGTACACGCATACTCTCCCAGCAGGTGAAACGCAATTTTTTGTGGAAAATGCGTGTCGCCGACTGACCAGTAATTTTGCCTGACGCAAACACGGGAAAGCACCCAGTGCATTGGACGCAACATAAATCACTCCCCCCCCCCCTCTCTCTCCCTCCCAGTCTACCACCCTAAGGCCCTTATCATACTGCGTTCAAAAGTCGCGTTTGCGTCTGCGTTTTCTTCGGTTTTTGACGGTCGCCTAGGAAATGCCATCACGTGACGTTATCGCGAGCCCAGGCCAGACGCACAGCCGCAGACGCAGACGCACAGACGCCGACTCAAACTGGGGGGGGGGGGGGGTGGTCAAAACCGAATCCCGCAAACGCAGATCGGACTTTCTTTATCGCAGCACTTTCTGCATTGTTTTTGAGTGTTTTCAAGTGATTCTCAAGTGTGCTTTTCAAATCTTCATTTCCATCTAGTTGCTGAGGCCGGCGAGGGTACTTCTACTACATGTACTGATTGATTGATTTTGGATTCGCGAGGCATGGAGCTGATGCGAGCTCGTGGCTGTCTGGCTGAGGTTGCGCTGACTAGTTGGCGGCGACTAGCCTAGCTGGACGAAGTGCCTCAACAACGGAACTGCCACCCCAACACAGGCAACGCAATGGCTGCAGTCTTTCCATCGACTCCTATTCCCCCAGCACCACTGACAAAGGACATAGGAGCAGAAACAGAACACTTCTCGATCTCAGGAAAATAAATTCAACATCCACGGCCACCTCGAGATCGATTCCCCACATTTTTTGTATTTCCCCGCGCGCACAGATTTTGACGCAAACGCGCTGAAAATCACAAGTATAGTATGATATCACGTCTTGCGTTTTCCAATCTCAAACGCAAACGCAGACGCAAACGCGACTCAAACAAACGCAGTGTGATAACGGTCTAACCGACAAGACACAACACATGTCCACAGCATGACACACAGGAAAGTACCCAGTGCCTTGGACACAACATAAATCACTCCCCCCCCCCTCCCCCCCCCCCTCTCTCCCTCCCAGTCTACCACCCTAACCGACAAGACATAACACATGACCACAGTATGACACAAACACAGGAAAGTACCCAATGCATTGGACACAACATAAATCACCCCCCCCCCCCCTCTCTCCCTCCCAGTCGACCACCCTAACCGACAAGACACAACACATGACCACAGCATGTCCACATACACCATACAAGGCATACAGTGAAATCTACAACCACGCTACTCCACCTGCGCAGTCCTTTCCTACATTTGAGGGCTTCACATGACTAAAATTCTCATATCCCCTCTTTTTTTACGGCAGCCCAAGCATCCTTCGGACAATTTAACCACGATGAACTTACAATTCTTCCAAATGCAAGGTAGATTGAAGAAGATTTGAGGGAAGTGTCACAAGGTTGTTGTCGCTTAAATCGCTGCAAGAAACACACGGATATGAACACGCGCAAATAATGTTAAATACAGTGTGGTTTGAACTTTGAATGTTTTAAATGTCAAAGTATTTAATTACCATCCACTGCAACTTTCCATTGCTTGCTCTTCACACACACACGCACATGTCCCTCACACAATTTTGCTCTCATGCACACTCAAACACACACACACACACACACACACACACACACACACACACACACACACACACACACACAAACACACACACACACACACACACAAACACACACACACACACAAACACACAGACACACACACACACACACACACACACACACACACAAACACATAATTATAATATACATTTTACATATACTCCATCTGCGGACAGCATGCTGTTTCGTTCTTTGTGAATTCATCAGCGCAGCACAGAGGAAATGAGGCCGAACCTGATAGCAATGGAAATAAAAAATTCCAATCAGGCATGAATGTACCTTGCCAGAGTGCTCAAACTGACAAGTCAGTGAGCTCTGCGTAATGCAAACAGCAAAGGCACTATCCCACAGGAGAGTGCTCAACTACTACAATAATAGAGAGATAGAGTGAGACAGGGTGGATATATATTATATATCCACCCTGTCTCACTCTATCTTTCTCTCTCCTTTTTTTTCTTTATTATCCGCCTATAGCAATTATGAGAACAATGTTTCCTGGAAACAAAGACACGCACGGTTAAATATCCCATTATGGGCACAATAATCTAGACTCATCCATGCATGCTTATTTGCATTAACTTGCTCACATATACATGCACATACATGCACATACACACACATACATGCACATGCTAACAATGAATAGAGCTCATACACACATGTGCTGACACATAAGTAGCCGTGACAACTTACATGACCCGCATGGCTGAGTATGCACGTTTACCAAAGATGCTTGTAGAGATGTTGACCAGGGAATTGTTATTCAGTTTACTGTCACATAGAAACACACACAGGTCACCCGGTGTAAATCAAATCCAACAAACTAACAAAGGGAAATGGTAACAGCCGTTTGAAGAGTGCTCGATGTGCTGCCTACACAGCATTTCACACAATGAAGACAATATATATTCATGATTCGTAACCGCAGGAATACCACCCCACTCAAAGCTTGAGATGCAGGTTCTGAAGCCCAAAAATTACAACTCGGAATTGCAAGATTGGCATTCTGGATGAAAATCTGAGTTTCATGGGGGGGGGAGTGAAGGAGTGGATGTGAGTGTGCGTGTGTGTGTGTACATGTGTACGTGTGTGTATCTGTATGTGTATGTGTGTGTGTGTGTTCATGAGTGCATGTGTGCATGCATGTGTGTATGTGTGTTTGTGTGCGTGCGTCCATTTGTCTAATACTCACAGAATTTTCAGACTTGCCAAGTAGCTCAAATCAAAAGCATTGGGTTGTAGTTCCATCAACTCGTTATCACTCAGATCTCTGCAGCAAAATGTGAGCAAAGGCAAACAGACAATCTACATGCACTGCTGCTCAATGCAATCCAGTCGGATCGCTCAAGCATGCGCCGGGCGCTGGGCAGCCTAAGACCTGCAAACACTGGGCTGCGTAACGGTGCAAGGCGCAACCATGAAGGTGGACATCCCACCTTGTCTTTGTGCTGAAGAAAGCCGTGACATCTTTTAATATTCTCTTTAGGCTCAAATCAACTCTACACACTTAATCACTCTCCCTCTCTCATTTACAAAACACGTCCTGTCTATAATTGAATATGCATGCATTGCTGTCGCCCCGCTCTCAATTTCACCCCTTGAACGCCTTGAGCGAATCCAGCGCAAGGCGGCCAGGATTTGCCTCCGTCTCCCCCATCTTCACTCCTATTAATCATTCAGCTCTGCTCCATCGGCTCAAATGGCCGGCAATGTTCTCTCACCGCAAATTGAAGCTCACCCTTCTTGCACACTCCAAAAAATACCAGTATGCCCCACAACACATACGCATGCTCAACACCCCCCAGGGGCGTACAAAGGGTGGTTTCCGGGATGCCCGGGAACCAGTAAAAAAATCGATATGGGTACGGAGAATTTTTTGACCCAGGCCCAGCGCGCGCAGTGCATGCAGTGCATGCCTGGACTCTCTCTCTCTCTCTCTCTCTACGCCTGACGGTCGGAGGACGGCGACCAGCCCAGGTGTAAAAGTGGTGCTGGGACACAGCCTAGGTCTACTGAACCGGGTGCCACAAAGTGTCTAGTTACATCGCTCGATTTCTCCATCTCAGAGTCAAATATTCCTTTGCAGTTTGTTTTGACAAAGTTGGTTGTGTTTTGGACGATGCTTTCACTGTGCGGAAAAGAAAAAAATGAAGCGTCCACATCCAGAGGGCCAGTGCTTCATTCAGAGCTATTTTGAGCAGCAGGCAAAGCGTGTAGCCAGTGGCGAATCGTTGAAGTGATAGATAAGATTGCAGACACACCTGACTTGCAAGCAGAGTCTGCAACGAGCAGCACTGAGGAAGAAATCGTCGGCGAAGCTGGAGAGCGACCGTTGTTGGAAGCTGTTGGATCATCCAAGACTTACTTCAATGACATGGTATGTGTTGGAAGGGATATTCTGAAAGTCGATTTCCACAGTGGAATCCAGTCCCCGAAATTTGCTGGACACGGAAAAGATTTCCTTCATCGACAATCATTGTGCGCCACCGAAGGCGAAGGATAGCATTTCCTGTGCGTCTGCAGACGGATGGCAAACAGCGCCGCTTTCAACACTCTCACTAGATACCATATACACGGTCAGAAAAATATTTCTGAGCCACCCAAGTGGGGCGGTGTGCTATTTTGCTGCTTTAAATTGTAGTTAGACCACGTTGCCAAGTATCTTGCTGGTCTCGTCATCGTCCAGTAGCAATCGACATTCTTTGTTCCCGCGGGACTTTTAAATAGCTTGTGCCCATTTTCATTGCGCTTGCCTTCCCCTCTTTGGTCTCTCCTTAACCTTGAACCTTCCGAGTTGGAAGGCTGTTTTCACGCTTCGAAGATGGGTTGGAACTAGGTGTCAGGTCGTCAAATGTCTCAGTACTCTGTCAGTTTTGTGGCTAGTTGTTGCACTTTCTGGCTGTATAATTTATAGTATCTAGTTACAGTGGTGGACAGTTACCCCGTATCCGTATGCCCCTTTCCTTTCTACATATCTTACCATACGCAGTAATAAGAAAACGACTCGCACACACCGTATTTTACCGGTTGTAAGTCTACCCCGGGTATAGGTCGACCCCCGTATCCGGAGGTCTCAATTCTGCGTTTTAAAGTTTTCACCCAACGAACCACTACTAACCACTCCCTGCTACGAACACATCAACAAATCATGTAAACATTCCCTATAGGAGAGTATAACTGCCCAATCCTTTGAAAAGGCAAATAAACTGGCAAAATGTGTACACATGGTGCTCTCGTGCACGCAGTGCACATGGTGCTCTCGTGCACGCAGTGCAGGTCATTTTTGCAAGATACTGATAGTTCCCGGTTATAAGTCGACCCCCACTCTTTTTCCTTCTATTTTTCGTCGTAAAAGGTCGACTTACAACCGGAAAAATACGGTATCTTACTTTACGCAGTACAAAAAAAGTACTAGTACTAATTAGGAAATAACTCACACATATTGTAGGCGAGAGTGGCTGTATGGACGACGATCAGTTCCCAAGAAGTCTTGTGGCAAAAGGGAAAGTCCCATATTGCTCAGATGTCTGCAAAAGCGACAAACCATAAAATGAAAAAAAAGTAGAGCAGTGTGGAGTTTAAGATATCGGATCTACCGGAGTATGCACCCAGTGTGCTGATCTACCGGAGTATGCACCCAGTGTGCTGATCTACCGGAGTATGCACCCAGTGTGCTGATCTACCGGAGTATACACCCAGTGTGCTGATCTACCGGAGTATGCACCCAGTGTGCTGACAGTGCTCAACACCACAGAGGCAGGAGGGGTCAACACTACAGAGGCAGGAGGGGATTATACCAGTGTGCTGACAGTGCTAAACACCACAGAGGCAGGAGGGGTCAACACCACAGAGGCAGTAGGGGATTATACAGAACAATAAGGGTAAGCAAGGCGAGTTTGTCGCTACTTTGAGTTTTAAAAATGCTTACGCAATCATCAGGCAACGGTTGCCTGACGACTGCGTAAGCATTTAACTCAGTGTGTGCTGTGTATACCCTCCATATAATACCCAAACTGTATGAAAGGCTAGGTATGACAGGACCAACCTTTTGGCCATCAACGTGTGTTTACTGCTGAGGAGGTCATGTGCGTGCTGTGTATGCCCTCTCCATTTAATACACAAATGGTAAGAAAGGCTAGGTATGACTGGACAAATCAAAACTCTTTCCATCGGCCCTGTACTCTACACATGTTGGCATCAGTCTCTGTCCTCTCACACTGATATCATCGATATGAGGTCCAGTACTTGCGAGAGATTAATAGGGATAATCCGTAGTGACCTAGAATGTATCAGCTACTCCCGTGTACCATGGCCATTTGCCTGAGTACCACTAACAGCACAGTCCATTGTTCTCGGTAACCCTAACAGCACAGTCTATTCACAATCTCGTGTGAAGCTGCCCGACAATTTCTGGTCTTGACAGCCGGAAATAAATAGACTGCCATACTATATTATGTTTGGCAAACCGAGCTCATTATGTCACTGGCATGTATGAGTCCAACTCTTCCACTACGGACAACGGAAAAATTTGCCATCACCGCAGCGTTTCTGAACAGAAGTTCATACAGAGCACACATCGGGTATGCATGCACACAGCTTCCGAGACCAGGACCACACACACACACACACACACACACACACACACACACACACACACACACACACACACACACACACACACACACACACACACACACACACGCACACACACACACACACACACACACACACACACATGGGCAGCTAGGCCAAGGAATCGGTTGACAGACTGCACATACACATAGATGTAGGTTGAGCACTTACAAATTGGTAAGGTTGGGAAAACGACTGAGCAGGCTAAGTGATCCCGGCTCCACAAGGTTGCCAGATAAGTTGCTGCACAAACAGAGTGGGAAGCCGCGTAGGTCCTGTTCGTCAATGGCAAGAAAACTGCATTGCACTAAACATTATACCAACACTGTATTATCTATGCTGACAGTCCCTTGGGGCTTCAGTGGACCATATTGTCGAGATTATAAGCCTCACTTTACACACCAGTAATTTGCGGCCAAAAAGTTGCTGCGGCTTATACTCGGAGGCTTATACTCGGAGGCTTATATTCCGATGCTTATACTCCGACGGTCAAATTCACGCTGATACCCAGGGTAGATGTGTGTGTTGCGTGACAAAAACGTGTCTGGATGTGGCTTATACTCCAATACCACTTTATGCTCAGTAACAGTTTTCTCCAGTATCCTTACGGCGTCGCTGGATGCTGATAATCCAATGTCAAACTACTTATTCTCTAACTTCTCTACAACTCTATCTACTTACCAGTTGCCCACTAACGATGGCGAGGGAACCTGGCAATGCTAATAACAGCTGGGATGGGACAAAAAGGCACGGGATGGGACGGGGCAAGACGGGACAGGGCGGGGCAATAGTGGGCAAGACGGGACAGGATGGGGCAAGACGGGACAGGACGGGACAGGACGGGACAGGACGGGACAGGACAGGGCAAGACAGGACAGGACGGGGCAAGACGGGACAGGATGGGGCAAGACGGAGCAGGACCGGACAGGACGGGGCAGGACCGGACAGGACGGGGCAATATGGGATAGGGTGGTGTAGTAGTGTGTGTGAGGAGGTAATATGTGATTTATGCCCTTGCAGTGCATCATACTTGTGCAGGATATTTACATTTCCTACAAGGCTTGTGAAGTTGATATGCATGCTTGTCCAAGATAGGTGCCTCAACTAGTGCGTGAGCGTGAAACTCGGAGTAAAACCACTTTCTCTGTCCTCCTATTGTTTGAACAGCTCTACCACTCGGTATTGAGCTCTCTCTTGGACAGTCTGGAACCTCTCTGTTTTATAGGTGCCTCAACTAAACATTTCTAAAAACTGCTTGAATTCAGCCAAAACTCAGCTGTTGTGACATTGGGGGCAATTCGTGCAGAAGGTTGGCTGCTCCAAGCGGTCGAGCTCGTCTCACACCCCCACCTGGAGCTAACGAGGTGTTTATCGTACTGACAGCTTAGCGTCATGGTAAGTTGGTATCCCCATAGTGCGTTGCACCATCGCTTATAAATGTTATACAATCGCGTTACACAATCGCTTAGAAATCTATGTAGGAAAATTGGCTAACTGGGCGAGCATCATTCCGAAGAGATTTCTCAAAAAGCTCGAACCAAATTTGAATTCCTGGAAAAGGTCTAGAGGTCTATACTGTGGAAACATAATAATAATAATAATAATAATAATAATAATAATAATTTCAACTGGTTTGAGGGAAAGAGACAAACGGGAAAAGTCTGAAGAAAAAATTGACTGTCACCACCAGGACTCGAACCAGGGACCCTCGCTTGTAGCCAGCGATGCTCTAACCACTGAGCTATGGTGTAGTCGTCATCCCAGCAGAGGCCGTTCAACATTTTCTTCAGACTTCGTAACTCACACTTCCTGTGAATCCACACAGGCGGGTGGGACGCAGCCCTCACTGTAACCCACACACTTCACGTACAAACTAGCACCCGGGGAGCCCCAAGTCATAAAATTTCAACTGGTTTGAGGGAAAGAGACAAACGGGAAAAGTCTGAAGAAAAAATTGACTGTCACCACCAGGACTCGAACCAGGGACCCTCGCTTGTAGCCAGCGATGCTCTAACCACTGAGCTATGGTGTAGTCGTCATCCCAGCAGAGGCCGTTCAACATTTTCTTCAGACTTCGTAACTCACACTTCCTGTGAATCCACACAGGCGGGTGGGACGCAGCCCTCACTGTAACCCACACACTTCACGTACAAACTAGCACGCGGGGAGCCCCAAGTCATAAAATTTCAACTGGTTTGAGGGAAAGAGACAAACGGGAAAAGTCTGAAGAAAAAATTGACTGTCACCACCAGGACTCGAACCAGGGACCCTCGCTTGTAGCCAGCGATGCTCTAACCACTGAGCTATGGTGTAGTCGTCATCCCAGCAGAGGCCGTTCAACATTTAATAATAATAATAATTTTTTTTAAAGAGGTCGGAGGCGGATAATACTTTAAAACGAAGGCAAGTTATGGGTCGCAAATATCCACGCAAACACACATCCAGTCATAATAAGGCACTTGTCATAAGTATCCGAACGTTTTCGGTCCCTTCTCATCAAGGATTATACAGGGAATGGCTCAAGCTGGAAAGACTAAAACTTATTTAGCGTAAAGATAATTAGATAACAACACTCGTGGCAAGGTGGAAAATTATCAAGTTTAGCACGACACAAAACTCGAAGGAAAATAATAATAGTGACAACAACATAGTGAGCAAATTAAGTTACATTGTTACCACCTCGACGAGGAGTAACACCAAACAATTGTAGCGACAACACATTTTCTTTCTGTACGCAAAGTTCAGGTTCTAACTTACGGATATACAAAGCTTCTAACACAGCCAAATGTAACGCACATCTACCACGTGACAATATTGAGAAAACGTTATCACTGTACAACTCACGACAATTGGTACGGGCTGACAGATGTTGCTTGATTGACGAAGTGTGATTCTTAGCTCCATTGGGTGTTGTCTCCTCCAATGTCCCGTCATCTCGCCTCTTCGTGGCATGACCACTATCTGTCTCTTCGCGTTTCCGCGGCCTTCCACGTTTCTTGACACTAACCGTTGGGTGCGCGATACCCGGTGTCCTTTCCGTTACGTCTCCTCCATTGCGGATTTCTATTGAGCTTCTTACTCCAACTTGTCCGTTGTCCGATATTGAGGTTAGTTTTCGCGGTCTACCACGTTTTCGAATATTGACTGTTGTTGTCACTTCCGTTGTCGTTGTACGTTCGTCCTCATCAGTCCGTATTTTCACTTGGCTTCTCGTCACCCTTTCCGACGCCGACAGATCCTTTGTCAGTTTCGGTGGTTTACGTGTCGGTCTTTCACCATCTTTTATGCTGTTCTCAGCTGGCCCGTGTCCTACACACGCAGAGGAGGACGGGCATGCAGTCACGTGCTAAACTTGATAATTTTCCACCTTGCCACGAGTGTTGTTATCTAATTATCTTTACGCTATATAAGTTTTAGTCTTTCCAGCTTGAGCCATTCCCTGTATAATCCTTGATGAGAAGGGACCGAAAACGTTCGGATACTTATGACAAGTGCCTTATTATGACTGGATGTGTGTTTGCGTGGATATTTGCGACCCATAACTTACCTTCGTTTTAAAATAATAATAATAATAATAATAATAATAATAATAATAAAACAGGTCGCGTAATGAAGCAGCATAACGATAGATGTGCAAAGTCATGATGCCTGGTCCGCTTCTGTCCTGGGTTCACTACCCCGTGCGTTGCAGCCGCGAGCAAAACCAGCTCAGGCTGAGAGTTCCCTCCATGATTGCTTGTCCAAAGCGCGCATTCTGAGCCCACTCAGATCAGTCATGGTCTTCAGTGGCATGTCTCTGGCAGCTGTGCTTGCCTTGACTGCCGTGGCCAGATTCGATTTCGGGCGTCCACGCACACCGGTGACATCTTGACGGAAGTAGTTGTCCATTGCCTGCTGTGGCGGGGCATCTGAGGGCATCCTCAGAACATGACCCAACATCCGGAAACGGCGGACAGCAACGGTGTGCGAAAGTGGCTGTGTGTGTGCTCTGGAATATAGGTCTTTGTTGGAGATGATGGCGGGATACCTAATTCCGAACAAGTTCCGTAGTTGACGTCTATGGAAGGCGTTCAGCTTCTCCAGTGCAGCCTCTGTCAGTCTCCAGGTTTCGCAGTTGTATAACAGTGTTGGTAGGACGATGGCATTGTAGAGACGAAGCCTGGTTTCCTCGGATACAAGTTGACGTCGTATCCAGCAGCAAAACAGAGTGGCTTCACATCTCTGCCTCCACCACCGAATGGCGAAGATCGAAGCAACTTGGCTCTCTCTTGGAGGAAGAGGAGGACTTGAGCCGACGAATGGACCAAGCATCAACATCGTATGGCCGCATGTATTCGCTCTGGATACGACGTCAACTTGTATCCAAGGAAACCAGGCTTCGTCTCTACAATGCCATCGTCCTACCAACACTGTGGATACATACTACTGTAAAAAAACCTGGTGTAAGCGACCTCTCGCTTTAGCAACCACCTGCTTTTAATTTACCATTTTTCCATGCACGGGCAGTTCTATACAGAAATTGCACCGGACACAGCGACCACCTGCCTTGCGCGACCAGCGACCGACTTTTAGTGTACCAAGTGCCATATTGGACCTGCACAGAGCGACCAAAACGAACCAAAAGTGCCACTTTGGCTGGCAGGGCTGACTGCAACAGTGTTGAGGTGCGCTCTAAAGCAAGTGCATGCAGTCAACTGAAGTGACAAGTGACAGTACAGGATGCGCTGCATGCACTTGAGTGAGGTGTGCTTGGCCTGCACCAGAGTATTCTATGCTCCACAACTGTCAATATGAGCACATGGAAGTACAATCCTGCACATGCATGCATATTCCGATACGCCACGATTGTACGGGACCTGGTTCTAAAGACCTCCTGGCTTTAACAACCACCTTTGCTTGCACCGTGGGGTGATCGCTTAAACCAGGTTTTACTGTATAGTGAAGTGTTGGCATGGAGACCACTAGATGATGCAGTGCTCTTGGAGTACAATTTGTTTGCCCATGTCTTACAGGTCAATGAGGCCTTGATGTGTGTTGTTCAGGAAGTTGAGATCCGTTAGGCCTGTCTCTGCAATGTTCCTGGAAGAAGCACATCCATCAACACATACACATATACACGCACACACACACACACACACACACACACACACACACACACACACACACACACACACACACACACACACACACACACACACACACACACACACACACACACACACACACACACACACACACACACACACACACACACACACACACACACACACACACACACACACACACACACATATACACATATACACACATACACACAAATACACACACGAATGCATATACAATGTATGTGCATGCATGTGTGTGTGTGTGTGTGTGTGTATGTGCTCACGTGTATGTATATTATACATACACATGAACACACACACACACACACACACACATACACACACACACACACACACGCCCACACGCCCACACGCCCACACGCACACACACACACACGCTCTCACACACACACACACACACACACACACACACACACACACACACACACACACACACACACACACACACCTCAGACCTCAGACATGCCCATCGTGGAAGCGATGATAGCGAACAGCTAGCTATGTTAGACATAGCAACTTGTGCTGGGATTACACCATTCAACAGCTTGCAAGGCTGATAAATTTACCGACACTAATTTAGCCTGATATCCACCACAAGACTGATTGAAGTGGCTTTTCGTGGCCAGTGGATCTTTTTCATTTTCATTTTTTCCATTTTTAACACACACACACACACGCCACACCACGTTCTCCGGCATACACTGGCTGTTGGTAACCACCCAGGAGAATGAAAGAAGAGCTAGGAGAATGAGAAAGAGAAGAAAGATGGAGAAAGACACACACACACACATACACACACACAGACACACACACAGACACAGACACAGACACAGACACACACACACACACACACACACACACACACAAACGCATGGTCATCATTCAGATTCAGATCATCCCTCAATATCAGTATGTGTATCGCTCTCTATCTCTATGTCTTCCTGCCTGTCTGTCTGTCCGTTTATCAGTCCGCCTGTCTGTCTATTTGTCTGCCTCTGCCTATCTGCCCTATATTCAGTACCGCCGACAATTGTTCCCAACCTACACAGCCATCCTTATGGAGAGTGCTGGGATCGGTCACCAGCTCTGAAGAGCTCAGCTCAAATTACAGAATAGCACTAGGTAGGAAGAAGTCTGTCAGAACAAGGAACACAAACTCTGCCACAGTCCCATGCTTCTCCTGTGTGCCGACCTGCATAATTCAAGATAACGTATACACACGATCCGTTCACCTAGCTGCTGCAATGAAGCTGTTTTATGAACAATTGTTATTCACATAATGGTTTCGTCCATAGATATTGAACTTCTTTCACAAAATGAAGTATTTATTCTCCTTATGGGGTGGGAGGGGGTTGACCAATTTCGTTTCCGAAAACGTTGATACATGTACGAGGCCGTAAGAGCAGTGACACACTTGCCACCGTTGCTCTACATGCATGTACAGTATACATCAACCTGTTGTTATGTTCTGAGGGGGAGGAGAGGAGGGGTTGGGCTGACTGGAAATTAATTCGTCCCGTGATAAAATTTCAATTTTCACGGACGGCCTCTAACTCCGATACACTTACAATGTCCTTAAGCGAGACCAGTGCCGAAGAACCATTGGGGCATTTGGCAGGAGAGGATTGCGGGAAACATCTCTGCACAACCAAACATGGACAAGTACAATAATAAAATTATACCGTAATTCAGCTTCATTCGAGGAAAAAGAGTCGCTTGCTACCCTGCTCAGATTTACTCTGCTGTGCTAAATACTCTTGGCAACCGCATGTCGAACACGCTGTACGCAAAGTGTCTGTTGCTGTGGGACAGCTGTGGCGTCATGGACCAGCACTGTCAATCACTGCACGCCGCCTATGGTACATAGCAATAATTCAGTCTAGGATCACTTATGCATCTATTTTTTTTCTGTGCCTCACAAAGCAGTTAGTCACCTGTCAACTGAAAGTCAGCAAGTCTGGCGTTCGCGCCATATTCCAATTGCATGGCGCCGTGCCCACTGGGCCACTACGCAGACGCCTCTCACTTTATTCTGTTGAGCACTGACCTTTTCATCTACAAAGTCTTGCAGTTTGTCTTTCGGTGTCTGTCCTCGTCAGCCAGCACATTGTTTCTGCCTTATTTCAAGTTGATCTCTGCCGACCCCGTCCTGCACGGGGATCGTCCCTTCACAAGGGGTCAAGCCACTCAGCTTCTCCATATCCCCTTTCTCCCTGGACAATCTGGACGGCATACTACACATTTCCTTGGTAGCTCCCTCTGGAATGCCCTATCTGACCATATCAGAATTCTCCCAATCTTGAGTTATTCAAATCCTCTATCTCTGATCTTGATCTGCCATCTCTTCATGCATGATTTACTTCATTCGGCAATGCAAGACTTGATCATTCGGCAAGTCTTCCTATTCTTCCTTCTCTCTCTCTCTCTCTCGTTCATCTCTATCTCTCTCTCTCTACGTCTCTCTCTCTCTCTCTCTCTCTCTCTCTCTCTCTCTCTCTCTCTCTCTATCTATCTATCTATCTATCTATCTATCTCTCTCTCTCCCTTTTTCCCCCCTTTCTCTGTCTCTCTCTCTCTCTCTCTCTCTCTCTCTCTCTCTCTCTCTCTCCCTATACTTTTATCATAAAACACAAGTAGCATCTTCACCATCCATAGTCCTTCTATATGGAATCTACATACTGCCCTCTCCATATTTTTTAGTACGGAATATATGAGCCAGAGCGCGCTAAAACATGACCACAGCTTTTTTTGAAAAAGTCGAGATAATCGTGATTTGAATTCCGCGGCAAAAAATACGAAGTGCAGTGCAACGCGAGTCGCTGTTTTCGTTCTCCTCGGTCGACTGGACTGCTCCGGATGCATTTCTTTGTTGCAAGTAAGTTTATTTGTTTCAGTTTGTATTCCATGTTGCTCCGAGTCGCCTAAAACTGATCGTCATCGATGTATCGACGGAAGAGCCTAGTAGTAGTAATGTACTGCGGAGCGGAAGAAGACGACATCCTCGCACTCCATGCGCAGGATAAAATATTTTGAGGATTCTGGTCGGAAACAGAAGGAAGACGATGATGGCTACAGCGACGAGTCATTTGAGGGCGACACTTTCATCGAGCGTAAAAGAATTGATGCTGGTAGTCCCACGATCTGCAGTGACGAGGAATTCTACTCTGATGACAACCTGGCAAGCGATTGGCATCGACACTGACTTGGGAGATGAGTCGGCCAATGATTTGGCCAGAATGGAAATCGCTGCACATATCCGGGACAATGCCAGTATTGGTTGCAAGTGGAAAAACAATCAATGGACTCTGCTGCTCCCTCCACTTCCTCAGTCGATAATTTGAGTACCCTTATGCGGAACATCGCTAGCACGAGCAGTAGGCAGCGAAAGCAGTACTCTGGTGAGCGGAAAAAACGTGTGCAGATGGGCTTTGGTGTGGGGAATATGAGTGCGACGTCTAGTATGTTGAGGAAGACTGTGTGCAGCAGTGTATACGGTATATCTGAATGTACAGGTGGAGTGTGATGCAGAGGATGTGGAGTGCCAACTTCTTCGGCCATCTACAAATGTTGACCGTGTTTTCGCTGGCGGTTCTCCAGTGGTGTTCCAAACAGGAGGTATTTCGGACACCCAGCTCAGCTGCCTATAGTCGAAGTATAGAAATTTTGGATGTGGCCGGGTACCTGTTAGCTCATGCTGTAAGACCCTGGACAGAGGAACTGACCGGGAAAGGATGAACCAAGGGACATATGAACTGTGTGCAAAAATGACAATCCCATTGCTGTACATAGAATTTCACCATTTCAACAGTGCTGCATATAATACCATTGTAGCAACACTTGGACATGTCGGATCAATCCAAAACTTTCAGACAGTGAACATTAGGTGTGTTTGATCATTTTTGAACAAAAAACTGAAAATCGAATTTTTGGTCTGTGGTCATATTTTAGCGTGCTCTGGCTCATATAGCTGACAAAGTACCAATTTTTCTTTTCTTTTGCTTCACATTATCATATTCATCAATTAGTAGGAGCCGTGGTTGGCTATGGCCATCCTGGCAAGAAGGCAGATATGCCTGTTCGATTTGTGAATACAAAAAAAATACCATACCATACCATAATACAGTGTAAACCACTTAGTATGTACCCTGAAAATACATTCTCTGATAATACATACTCTGATAGCCAATGCTGTAGACAGCAAGCGGTTCGGCCATAAAGGCCTCATCAGTACAGCTACGAGCTAAGTAGGCCGATCTACCAGCCAAGGTGCAATGGAGGCACCACAGACATGATCATAGCTCATTGCTCTAGCGCCAGAGTGCTCTAACAACGAAAAGCAGCGAACAATGCGTAATGCAGCAGCACTAGAGCAGCCTACCGAGAGTGCTCAACAAGACGAATGTGTGTGTTCTATCAGAGTTCTATCAGAGTTCTATCAAAGTTCTATCAGAGTTCTTTCAGAGTTCTATCAGAGTTCTATCAGAGTTCTATCAGAGTTCTATGGCTGTGTTTACATGAAGCGTTTCAACCCGGGTTGAGTTCGACCCGGGTCAGATTTCAAACCGCCATGTACACAAAATGAATGGCGCGTTTACATGACGCATTGCGCTTGACCCGGGGTGAAATTTCACCCGGGTCCCCCTGGGGGGAGGGTTGAAATCAACCCGGGTCAAGAAAATCGTACAAACGTACTTCTGTGCGTATCTCGCGCCAGGTTTGAACAGCACTGCAGATGCAAATTTCGCGCGAACGGATTCACGTGACCATACAGGATTGTAGAAGTGGACTTTTGGCGGCATATCAGTATTTGACCCGGGTCAACTGTCTTCATGTAAACGCTCACCTCTTTTGCCTAACGTATAGACTTTCAACCCGGGCTGAACTCGACCCGGGTTGAAATTTCTCATGTAAACACAGCCTTTCAGAGTTGTATCAGAGTTGTATCAGAGTTGTATCAGAGTTGTATCAGAGTTGTATCAGAGTTGTATCAGAGTTGTATCAGAGTTGTATCAGGGTTCTATCAGAGTTCTATCACAGTTCTATCACAGTTCTATCAGAGTTCTATCAGAGTTTTATCAAAGTTCTATCAGAGTTCTATCAAAGTTCTATCAGAGTTCTATCAGAGTTGTACTGTACTTACAGGAAGGTTGCTACTGCCATACGCTGTCCCACTGCCGGTAGATTGGTTAAACCACAACCTGAGAAGCAGCTAGTAACAGACAGCAAGGGAATACAGGACAGGGTGTGGGTACGTGAGAAAACAAAATACAGGGACGGAAAAGCAAGATGGAGATGTAGACAGAGAGACAGATGGACGGATGGACGGACGGACAGGGAGAGACAGAAAGACAGACAGACAGACATACGGATGGATGGACGGACGGACACACAGACAGCCAGACAGACACACAGAAAGACAGACAGACAGGCAGACAGAAATACAGACAGACTGACGGATGGACGGACGGACAGGGAGAGACAGAAAGACAGACAGACAGACGGACGGATGGACGCACGCACGGATGGACACACAGACGCACGCACGCACGCACACATGCACGGATGCACGGACGGACGGACGCACGCACGCATGCACCGACGGACGGACATACAGACAGACAAATGGACGGACGGACGGACGGACGGACGGACGGACGGACGGACGGACGGACGGACGGACGGACGGACGGACGGACGGACGGACGGACGGACGGACGGACGGACGGACGGACGGACGGACGGACGGACGGACGGACGGACGGATAGACAGACAGAGAGACA